CTTAGTAGGTCACCCTCAATAGAGTGCTGTGACGTCACAGTTCAGCAGCCTCAAACTCTTTTTTTTTTTTTTGAGACGGAGCCTCAAGCTATCCCTCTGGGTAGAGTGCCGTGGCATCACAGCTCACAGCAGCCTCCAACTTCTGGGCTCAAGCGAGTCTCCTGCCTCAGCCTCTCAAGTAGCTGGGACCACAGGCACCCGCCACAATGCCCTGCTATTTTTTGGTTGCAACCGTCATTGTTGTTTTGGTGGGCCTGGGCTGAATTCCAACCTGCCACCTTAGGTGTATGTGGCTGGTGCCTTAGCCACTTGAGCCATAGGCACTGAGCCACACCTGGCTATTTTTAATGGTGGGGTCTCACTCTTGCTCAGGCTTGTCTTGAACCTGTGAGCTTAGGCAATCCACCCTCTTCAGCCTCCTAGAGTGCTAGGATTACAGACATGAGCCACTAAACCCGGCCTAACCTGTTTTTAAAAAATATTTTGGTTTTGGGCAGTGCCTGTGGCTCAGTGAGTAGGGCGCTGGCCCCATATACCGAGGGTGGTGGGTTCAAACCCGACCAAACTACAGCAAAAAAATAGCCAGGCGTTGTGGTGGGTGCCTATAGTCCTAGCTATTCAGGAGGCTGAGGCAAGAGAATTGCCTAAACCCAGGAGTTGGAGGTTGCTGTGAGCTGTGATGGTACAGCACTCTACAGAGGGTGATAAAGTGAGACTGTCTCTAAAAAAAACTTTTTTTTGGTTTTGCTAAACTACATATATTACAAAACTTAACCATATTAACTATTTTTAAGTGCACAGCTTAGCGGCATTAAGCACACTCACATTGCTGTGCAGCCATTGCCACCCTCCCTTTCCAGAAATTTCTTATCCTCCCAAACTGAAACACTAACTACCCAGCCCCTGGCACCCACCGTTCTGTCTCTGTAACTCTGACAACTCTAAGGACCTCCTGTGAGTGGAATCACTCAGGATGTGTCCTTCTGTGTCTGTTTCTCTGACCAAGCATCACACCGTCACTTTTTACCCGTGGTATAGCCCATGTCAGAATTTTTTATGGTTGAGGAATATTCCATGGATGACATTGTGTTTATCCACTCATCAGTGATGGACATTTGGGTCATTTTCACATTTTGGCTATTGTGCATAATGATGCCATGAATATCCAGACACATTTTTGGGTGGACATATGTCTTCATTTCTCTTGGGCAGTTATCTTGGAGTAGAATATTTTTCCCAAGAGTCTTAGTAGGTCACCCTCAATAGAGTGCTGTGACGTCACAGTTCAGCAGCCTCAAACTCTTTTTTTTTTTTT